CTATTCTCTGCACTTTACAGATGGGTTCCTGAAGCAGAGTTCATCTTCTCCCAGGCAACAAAAGGAGGGGTGTGGAACTTTACCAGCCTGGAAATAAAGCTCTGCTGCTTACATGAGGGAAGACAGCACCAAGGAAGTCTTTGATATGGAGTCCTGAAGGAGTAGAGGTGATCCTCAAACATGGGCCAGGCAACAGAACACTCCTAGCTGCAAAATTTGAAGAAACTGCATTGCCTAGACCTGGAAGCCCAGCTCTAACTTAGGAACTGCCCAGGTACCACTGGGTACCAGCATAAGCAGCTGTTTGGCCTCTCCTAGCAAAGTGCACTGAAGCATCTGCAGCAGGTCAGTACTGCGTTCTCAGTCCTGTTTTGTCCCCAGTTATAATGAGCAAAGGAACTTCAGCTGAGGGTGATCCCCCTCAAATAATCTGCCTTTTTAGAGGGAGAACTGGAGATGCTCAAAATGGTCCTGTGGTAAGGGGAGCAGACAACTGTCCTCAGCCCTCAGCTCCATACCGTGGGCAGGCAGAGTGCAACTCCTGTTACCATGTTACCACCATCAGGCGTACATCTCTCTTCCTGTCAGTATCAGGTGACGTGCCAACATCTCTGGTCATGCAAAGGATGTCTGAGAGTTTGGCAAAGAGCATCACAAGCACTACAGGAAATTTCTATAAAATAACGGCAAGGGCACAGCTAAGCCAGATAGCTGTTACCTGTTCTGCCAGCCAGAAGACACAAAACACACCTTGGTTTGCCTTCGTGAGAAAACTTGCGGAGTCTTGACTTTTTAAGAGGATGCTGCCAGCTACACAGAGCATGCCACACTGAGCACAGGACTGTGCTGGAAGCCACCTGTGTGATAGGCAGCACCCAGAATGGATTCAGAGGTTAAACCCATTCCAATAGTTCAGCTGTTACTGGTTGTTGCTGAAAGGACAGCATAAACTGGGTGTGCCCTTTCTGTGGAGTGGTGCATTCCTTTGTACATAGAACCATTGGGAAAGCCTGGTCCCACCTGCATGCTGCTCCTGTAGACATGAGATACTCATTTGGGCTCTATGTGGTTCTTAGTAGTTTATGGGACAGATTAGTGAAGTTCAGGAGAACTGGATTCCAAGCTGTAACCTACAAGGAACTACATATAATGTTTGTATCTTTGGAAAAGAGGGTTAAACTGATCTGCCAAGTTAAACAACATACTGCCACCTTTGAAAAGCCTCATTATCAGGTCTAGAAGTGTCTGCCATTAGTGTGACACTTGTATGTAAAGAGATAAAACTGTCGCAATTAACTTTGATTTTCATCCACAGGCTTTACTTCTGCTTCCAACCAGAGTTCGTTCAAATTACTGTTTATGTTTGACACCGATCTGGCAGCAGCAGCAGAAGCTTAATAGCATAGAGATTAGTTTATTTAGTTATTTATTTATTTGCTTGTTACTATGTCTGAATCACATTTCTAAAAATGTCTGCACAGCATTATTTCATCTTTACCAGTGGAGATAGGATAACAGAAATCAGGGAAGCTGTGAACTGTACCACCGACTCAGTTATTTATATGGAGAACCCATTAAACAAACTATTTAAGCAATGAAATATTTCACTTATTGTTAATAATATCATGAATATGAGGAAGCTCATCACCCAAGTTCTCTGGAGTCTGTGGTTATGCTGCATAATTACATAATAATCAACCACACAGTCAATGCCTATCCAGCAAACATTTTGATTTTATTCTATCATAGAGGAATACAGTGGTGTATTCCTGTACTGATTTATTAAGAAGAAAGAATCATGACTCAATACCATCTTAAATCATGAGACTTTAAAAAAAAATGATATTTTGGGTAATAAGAAATGTTTGCTTACCAGCATTTGAGTTTTTTAATTCATATTTTCTAGCAACAATATGGGTAAATACTTAAAATGCCACAGTTACCTCAAAATCATGATGCAACTGCAATCAGTGGAGTTACATGAGTAACTACATAAGGGAAGCATACTCTCAAGTCCCAAGAGTTAGGACATCAAATTTCTTGATCCATTAATTAAAGGCACTTACACACTAAAACCAGGACATCTGGAATCCCCATTACATTCTTTGCTGCAGGAAGAAGTTTGGCCAATTCAAACCTTCAGCTCTAATCCTATCTTCCTCTGATGTTAAGCTCTGTTCACCCACTGACCACAACTGTCAACAATTCAATTTCCCATTTTTGTCTCCAGATTCGTCCACTGTTTAGAATATGATGCACAGAGAATTTAGAGGAGACAGAATTTACCTTACAATGGTTAACAGCATTGCAAAAAATCACCCCATCACAAAATCAGGGAAAAATGAGACTTTACTACACTCCCATCATGACTTTAAATAAAACTAGCTCTGTGATTCAGTCTTCTATTCCTAAAATGAGAATAATAGTGCATACTGTGCTTTGAAGAATACTCATAAATGCTCTGAAATATTCATCTAGAAGATACTGTATAAAGACATGTAACTGTTCATTGCTGCAAATGTAAACAAACCCCAATTCACAGCACAGTATAATACTAGCGAGAAAAAACTGCACAAGATAAATCCAGGAATTTCAAAACACTCATCCATCCAAAACCACCAAACCAAACCAAACAAAAAATTCCAACATGGTTTGGGAAAGCTACCAGTGTCAGAGTTTTATTCAGGTCAAAAGAAACAACACAACACTTTTGAAACCAAAAACTATCTTTTTGCTGTCGCAAAGAAACTTGGGTCATTCAACTTGTATCATCAGAGTGCCCTTATTTTCAGAAAGGCAGGAGGAAAATGAAATGCCAAGTAATTCAAAGCGTACAGAACTACAACCATTTTTCACAGCAAACATTACAGCTGGACACACAATCAGAATGGTCAAACACACGTTTTAGGGCTTAACTATCTGAGTCTGAAATCCTCAGATTGCTCCTGGCAAGCTGAAACAGGGACTAAGTAGGACATAGTCTGCTCCTCTCCTCAGGTCATTACTGTACCAAACTGTACCAATAGATGTTTCTTTTTAGGCTTTAAAAAAAAAATTCTCTTTTAAAGTCCTCAGTGAGGACTACTCATGAGGGAAGCATCCAAGTCTCCCGGTGTGAATAAACACCGTTCTGCCATATTTGTGCAATGTTTCCAGTTATTTGGAGTGCTACAGGGACCAGACTTGAGCGCATTGACTAACATTCGATTCAGAGACAGCAGTAAGAAATGCCTGCTGCATGAATACAAGAACTGGATAATTTTCACTACTGCAGATGTCCCTTGTCTTTTACACCAATAGGACCATTATGGTGATTTTTTCCATCTCCTTCTCCAGAATGACAAATGCCAGCACAATCAAAATTTGGAAATTTTCCATGTGAAAAACAGGAAGAGGAGTGCTAACTTAATCATCTGTGCTACACTTTCCTCACTTTGTGAGGAAAAAACTGGCCAGGCTGACCACCTTGCTTATGAAAGAATGATGCTAGGTGCATCATGGTAACATTAGAAATATCTGTAATAAATCCCACATTATGTAAGAGAAGAAAAATGGGTCTTCCACACTGAATATGCTGTACAATATTACAGGTCTTCTTTCTCTGCATTTCAGAATGACATCATTGATCTTTTTGTATGAGTTTAATTACAGCCTCACTTTAATGCTGCCAGTAGTAAGGTACTGCTCTTAAAGAGGCAAAAAGCTTTATTAGACGCTGAAAAGAGCTAGGGATGCTCTTAAAAATAATAAAGGGCAGTCAATCAATCACATTTGCTCTGCCAAGAGCTTTTAAGATGCAACCCCAAGGCTCGAAGCTTCATTACCAAAACATTTTTCCTGTTGCCACTTAAAAAATTCTGTTGAATGACTAAAATATAGGTAATGAAACTGCAACAATAATTGCATGCTTAAGAATGAAAGTACAAAGTAGTTCTACTTTCATTGAAGAGATTATTTTAAAGAATGGCACTATTTTGGACCCTAAAAATACATGGATCAGTGCCACTGAAGAACACTCAGAGATTTTTATGGAACCCAGACTGTGGATACAAAGGTTCACTTGAGAGTTTAAATTTCAAATAGCAACGTAACAATATCAGGACACATAATGTGTTGTTGGACCCAGGACATGTGTATATAGCATTTAAAAGAAACAACCCCTCCACAAGAGAGGGTCTGAAGAATCCTTAATCAAAAGTGCTCCATTTTTCTTTCATTTCTACTTTACTAGTGCCTGAAGTAGCTGGAAATGGTGCTGTGCTTCTTAACCATGCAGACAGAAAGTGGTGGTCAACACAGGATCTGCGGCAAGACAGCTTTTAAAAAAGTTAGATTAGGAGGTGTTTTGTCTTTTCTGCTCAAGTAAGAAAGCTCATGGAATACAAAACAATTTTACACTGCAAAGGGACTCTACTGTATGGTATATAAGAATTGAGACTGGCTAGTAAACTATGCTGTCAGTCTTTTCAAAAGACAAATGAAAGGCATGTTCAGCTGTACTAACATCAGACCACTTGAGAGGCTCTCTTTGCTGCCTATACTGAATGGGGATGCCCTTGGAATTTTATCTGAGATTTACTGGTTTGGGTGGTGAGATAATACTTCAGGTTACATCAGTCTGCTTTTTTTCTTTTTCTTCACTGAAGAAGGTAAAAAATGTTAGAGGCTTGTTTGTTTTCAATGGTGGCAGCGCAGTCAAACAGTTCAAGGATCTACCTAGTGTGTAAAGCCATTAAATGTTCTCCAAGGCTTCCAGCTCCCTGACACCCAGGATCACTGATGAGAACCAGAATGGAAAGGATCAGAGATCACCAGAACAAAGATGGCAACTAGAAGAACAATTCTGTTAGGCAGAGGAACACTTACATTAAGGCTGCCAAGAAGACATGCCAGTCTGGGTTTGGTAGTGTAATAAGGCACAAATACATTAATTTTCAATTTAGAAACCTTCTGTTAATTTTTTTAAAAAGTGATTGGAATTTATTGGCATTCATATTAAATCAGTGCTTTAGTTCTGGAAGCTGCTTCACTCCTGCAGTCTTTTTAATCAGCCCTTTTTGAGGATTAACCATCTTCGGGTTTCCTGGGACACGGTATCTCCCTCTGAAATAAAATGGGTGAAGTTAGTCACCAAGTGTTGCATTCCCTGTAAGCTTTAACTGCTAGAAATTTGCATGCTTTTTATATTTGCATAACTGATTACTATTGTGAATTAATAAACCTGAAACAAAAACCAAGTATATTTCTGGGTTTGCAGGCTAGCAGAGCATCTAATTATTCTGCATACAGACTCAATCCTTATCTCATGATTCCTGACTACTTCCTGTTACCTAAATGATGGCATTTAAGGAACATGAGCAGAATGCTAAACATTTGCACAAAGAGAATGATAACTGGCTAAGGAGATATTTTCATCAGTTATATAAACCCTGTTAGGAAATGGAAAAACACTTCATGGGTTCATGTGCAGGTATTCCGCTCTGGAGAGCCAAATTCTTGAGCCCATGAGCACATAGGAAATGCTGCAGCAGATTTTTTAAGTGGTACTCATCGTGGATACATACACCATGTATATGAAACCTGCTAGAGCTGTTTTCATCTTGATCTTCTAAGAGAAATCTGTGGGAATGAAAAACAAATCTCCGAGGGCATAAATGGTGATTCCACAAACTGGAAGGGTCATTCTCATGGTCAAGCAGCATGCATCTCTGGTCTGCTCTACTCTATTCTTGCAATGTACCTTTGTTTCTCTCACTGTTCATTACCACAGTGGACAGACAGCACTTTACACACTCTAACAACAATGTACAGGGTTTCAATGCCTTTCTCAAGTAAAGGCTTGCTGAAGGAAAATACATCAGAACATCACATCGTTATATTCATGATCATAGCCAGAGAAATACTTTGCTATACAGTAGAAGCTGTGATGACATAATCTGTGCAAGTTTCAAATTTCTGGGCAAACAGCCAACAAAGTTGTCCCTAGGCTCTCTAGTCTTCTTGAGCTTGACACAACCTTTGTTCCAGCTCTTACAAACAGTCATGGTCTTAAAGGGAGAGCTGCCCATCCTAGAGATGGAGCTACTTCTACTCAGAGTTTGGAAGATCAGATCCCAAGGTCCCAGTTTGCTCAATAATCATTTGATTATTCAAATTCAAATCAACTGATAACTCAAAACTGATTGATTAATCTGTAGATCACTGTAGAGTGGGACCAAGTAGACAGCATATGTCTGCATGGTATTCTGCAGGCAGCAAAACCTCTTTACACTCAAAACCAGATGGACTTGCAGACTTAGAAGCCAGGTAGCTGCAGCCAGTGTAGTGTTGAAATTGAGCTAATAAGCCCTGCTATATGCCTTAGTATAACTGTAAGGGCTCAGAATGACATTAAATTCGTGCTCAGATGCCATCAGAGACATGAGTCATCAAAACAACCATGTTTTCCCAATTGTCAACTAGCCTATTTTTGTCTTGTCCTGTGTAGTATCATAAAAAGCACCTCTACTGAACTTGGCTTCTATGTCTGGATGGCCAGGAAATTGAATGTATCAACGATTAGTGTTCACAATTAATACTCAAAAATATTTCAGTGTTGCTTTAATATACAGGTAGGGTTTTCCATACATGTACCTATAGTTAAACATTAAGCAGAGTTTCTTAGTATGGTTTGAAATCCAGAAGGCAGGCATTTTCTGAAAGGGCAACAGAAGTGAGATAAGAAGTCTGGACAGAAAAATTTTAAATAATTCTCAATAACATGTTTATTTTCAACCATGCAGGTCTTCTCTTATTCAAATGAAATTATTTCTCATTAATGTCAGCTTGAATGAATAATCTTCAGGCTGCAAATCAAAACCTAATTAAAAAGGAATAACATAACAATAGCTGTGTTAACCTCATGATGATCAAGGGGTGCTTACTTACATTCTATTATTTCCTTAAAATACAAACTATGCCAAATCCCCATTCTTATCTCCATGTTGCCAACTAAGACCTAAGTTTCACCTGAAACTTCTGAGTCACTGGTTATAAAAGCCAGTGCTTTGCAAACTGGGTCCTTTGCTACTAAGGACAATTTAAAAGATGAACCATTCCCTTCATGTGCGTAACGTACTTTGAAAAGTTAAAAAAAAAGTCCTCTGAAGGAAAATGCATTGAAAAAGGATATTTTGTTACAATATGCATCTTCTGAGACCAGCAATTACAGAATATTTTATTTCTTTTAGGCTTTATTTTCTTTTGTTTGATATGAAGAAAATTACAGAAACACAATGTCATATAATTTCAGGGTAAATAGTTTACTAAAATAAATTATAAAAAAACCTTCAACATAATCACAGGTCAGTTCTAACCCTCTGCAAATTGCAGTATCTGGCTGATGATATTTAATCTCCCAGCAGAGACAGTGAATTCTTCTAGTTCTACCTTCCTGACCTTCTCCACTTGAGCCATGTTAAACATCACTGGGGCCAGAAGCAACACACTGTCTATGTACGGGGTACCTCAGACCCACACAGTGTTTTTTCTGTATTGAGAAACTTCAGTTACAGACTGTAATTCATATTGTACTATGTTAAGTCATATTCCATTAATATCCTCTCCTGGAGCATGAAGATCCACTGTTCCAATTTATGAAATCCTATGATTTTGTGCTTACACAGAATGAAAGGATAAAGCTGGTAAGAAATATGTCTACACAAGTTCATGCTTATAATATACTCATTACATTTTCAGATGTTCCCAATGTGTAATGTGTTTGCTCATTTTAATAATATAGGCAAGTGGGTTTGTGGAAGAGTATTTACTGCGAGAAACCAAACTAGCTCAGACATACTCTAAAGTATTTGGGAGAGTTCCAAAAGCAAATATTATATCGGCCTGCTTACACACTTTTGTATGCATCTACTTATGGCCACTGGAAGCAGGATACTGGGTCCAACACACTTTTGAGGTGATTCCCTATATTCTTCCTACTTTATATTATTAACATTTTCAGTTCTGTTAAAAAATAAATCTCCAATTTCAAGCCTTCTCACAAGCACTACAATCAGAAATTCATTTTATTTCTATATAGCTCAGAGCAAGTGGGCTCCTTTCAAATTTAAATTTCTAACCCATATAACTAAACAGAAATCTGTTAAACAATAAAGGCTTTTTATATTGTAATCTAAAATCACTCAAATTATCATCCACAAAAAGATTTACAATCTCTATTGGCTAAAAAGGACCAAGAAAGGCATTTATTTAATTGATTTACTCTTAATGGACTAAAGGGTATACTTGCTGCTCCCAACTCTGCAGTAATATAGAAAGAAATGATCCATTATAAATGCACGTTGAAGGGGAAGAATATCAGAGGTATTGTAAGATTTCAAAAGGCCACTTAGATACATCTATTTTCAATACTGCAACATACTTAGTATTAGATAAACTGACTGAAAAGCAGTATCAAAAATGATGTTAAGATTAATACTTTCTCAGTAGCATTATGCTCAATGACTTTTACCATGAACAGAAAGTTACAATATTCAAAACATAGTACTTCACAAAAAATAATAAACCAGAAAACAAAGAATAGAAAGGAAATTTACCTCAGTATCTGGTTTTCTCCCTTGCTTGTCAGAGCATCTGGTTTTTGCCTTTCAACAGTTTTAAGTTTAGCTGAGGTCTGCAACAGCCAAATTTTTACAAAACAAGTTAAATCCTAACCACAATCACGATTAAGGAAGTAAAATATTTCCAAACTAATTTTGACCAACTACGGTCTTAACTGCCATAAAGTACTTTAAGCACATATTATAGTGATGCCTTGTTGATTTGGGGAATTGAACACACAGGCCAAAACCCCTTGCTGTGAAAAAATACCGTTATTTATTAAGCTGCATGATCAGACAATATGTAGTTTCAGTCAGCATGTTTTTGGTCATACTGCCTATAATTCCACATTTTCAGTTAAGAAGCATTATATTTCTAACATACTCCCCTGAATGAGAAACAAAACAAATTATAGTCACTTAATTGCATCTTTGAATGATAAACCCATAAAGAACAGGAACTACTTTAAAAAAAAATGAATACAGCATAGCGATCTCTGCATACTCTGGAAGTCTACATTACTGGACATATTGAAAAAAAAACCCAGCTGTTACCCCTGGTATTGCATTTAACTGAATCTGAGCAGGATTAAATCAGCTGGTTCTTCTGTTCCTTAGCTCACAGCGCGTTCCCTTCTCAACCAGCACTTGCTGGCTCATCCAGCTGCCTTTACTAGAACTACCTACCTCTCAGAGGGACGGCTATTCCATGGACAGAAAACCAGCAAACACAGAAGCTTTAGGGCTTCTTTGGCTGCTGTGCACACTTGGGTGTCTAGTGTAAGTGAATGGAATTTTCTCAGCCCCTTTAAACAGATCCTTCAGGACCACATAATAAATATGATAATCATGATATACAAAGCATTGGTAAACCAGAGCAGTGAAGACTTTCTGAAAGCCTAGAGATAGATTTTGGCACTACCTAAACAAGGCTCAAGGTTTGGATCATTACACTACATTACAATATTGCATTTTGTATCATGTGTGAAAACATCTTGCACTTGTGAGAAAAAACTCTGGCACTGAAAAGAAGCATGTCTCACTGCTTAGAAGACAATGGTTTCTACCATGCTTCCATGTATACAATGCACTAGGTAAGAATTCCTGACCCAGTCTTAGCAAAGTCAGCTATAATTAAAGCAGAATCTTTTTAGAATGCAACCATAAAAATGGAAGAGGATCTGTACAGATTTACCTTCTTGAAGGCAATACATTTTTTGTACTCAAGGAACTCTAGTACTTAAGATGATGGCTAGTATAATTTATCATCTTTCTGGGTAGACGTGTTTCTGTGAGGCATGAGGCAAGACCTATGCTATGGTTGCCATCAGTGTTTTTTTAATTTATATGGATATAGAGTGCCAGTATATACAATTATTATTCATAACACTGCTTTTGCTGGTACAGTTTACTCCAGGCCTATCCCAACTAAAATGAGCCATTGTTGCACAAGCAGCTTTCCAGCTGTACCTGTCTGTAATTGTGGGCTTTTTCTGCAAAGAAATCCCAATCACAAGTTAGACTTTACTATGGTAGTAAAAGTTTGTGGCAAAAATCTGGTCTGACAGAATGGCCCTTTAAAAGATCTGCTATTGTTCTTCCTTGCTTGCTTCTGCAACTGATTTCTGAATACCACCTGAAAGTGCTTTGAGATTTGTGGAGTCTAAATCCCAAACCAAAATTTTTTCAGATTGAAAACAAAACAAAAAAAGCAAACAAGAATGCACCATAAACCATTGGTGCCTCTAGCATGAGTTCTCAAGTTTGTGAAATCTTTAATTTATTTCAAAATTAACATTTAAAATTTACTTTATCCTTATGGATCCAGACAAGACAAACAACAAAAGCACTCAGAAGAGACATACATTTTGTAAAAAAGCAGAAAAGGACTTGATAATAAAAAAGGTAAATAAAAGAAATGGCTGCTCAGAAGCACCTCTCTTTTCTGCTTCTGCTGCAGGCTTCAGGAGGATCCAAAAAAACCCCAGAAAAAAACTCAAAACATCTGGGATTTTTTTAACACCTACCATTAATTTTTTTTTTTTTTTAACTGTGAGCTATACAAAAGCACAAACATAATAAAGAAAAAAAAGACCTAAAAGGACGTTATATCCATTCTCTATAACTGAGAGAGTGTCACTGGAATATATACTGTTGTCACAGGATAACAATATCCTGTAGAATATTTACTTTGAAATGTATGGAAAACGTTAGCCTATGGGTAAATCCTTCCAACTCAACTGCTGCCAGCATTACTATGCAGACTCTAGAACAGTGAAATTTTAATACAGCTGAAAGAGTCTGTAATTAATATAAGTTTACTACTGCCTCTGTTGTTAAAAGGAACTGTTAAAAGGGAGAGCATACATATGCAGATTTTAAAATAATATAAAAGCAACAATCAAATCAAAGTCATAGCAGAACAGGACCTGAAGGGACCAGATGAGTCACTGATTCTTTTGAAACCAACAGTTAACCATGAATAGGTTGACCACCATGTTCAGATTAGAAATGTAAAAGGTAGATATAATATAAATTACTCACATAGGCTCTGCTTATAGCTCAGGAAAAGAGACAGCTAAGTTGCTGGGAAATTCATTTAATCCTGATCTAAAACAGGTGTGATGGTCTGTGCCTTAAACATGCTTCTCACTCCATACATTACAGAGGAACACCCAAAGCCACTATAGATTGGCTGTTTAACATTCAGAGAAGATAGGGAAATTAATCTGAAGATTATTATTTTGCTCTCATATGATTCTGAAGTCATGGGGGAAAATAATTGATTACTGAAAATATAATGTATGAACTACCTTGAGTGTCAGTGGCAAAACTGTAGTCCCATTTAAGCAACATGCCAGTGCATATACCTCATTCAAATACTGTTTTATACATATTTAAGTGCTTTTCTAGGCAGCTAAACATAGGCACTCCTCTAATAATATCATCTTTTATTTCCTATCTTCTTCCTCCAGCAGTTCCTATTTTCACTGTTAACGCAAAGATATTAACAGTTATCATGGGCATTTCCTGGGCTTTTTCTTGGTTTCATGCTGGGAGTTATTTTAAGGAATTCTTTCAGATTTCCCAAAGCAGCAATGAACCATGTAAGAGAATCAGTTGCCCACTGTGCAAACATATGGAAACACTGCTAATTACAGCCTTTCACCCCAGTTAGCTATGACAGGGATTCAGTGACAGTCATTCTTGAGTATCACATTAAGCTATTACTTTTACATTATTCAGAAATTAAGAGCTCTTTCAGAAGAAGAAGTACTAGAAATCTTTACAGGTTCCTTTACAGGTTCCTCCAGTTTGTAGTATCAACTTTTACATATTACATAATTTACAGCAACACAGTTTCTCACCAAACAAGGTATCTTATCCCTTATCTTATAAATTTAATTGAAATATTGGTTGTATTGTCATTCTGAGCTGGCTGGATAGTTTGTCTTTAAAAGAAAAAAAGGAGAAATTTAAAAAAAAAAAGGGGATTGCTACTTAAGGTGGGTGTCAACTGACAATAATTTGGTTCTGTTATTTTCAACTGAAACATTAAAATAGCATAGCAGTCCTGTGACTAGTGGATGGGCAAGCAAGTATCAGAAAATTGCTTCAGCTTTCTCATTTAAGGGCCCTTTGACGATCCTTGGGAGCAATGGCACTCCAGTTGATAAAAAAGAAAAAAGAAGTATTTAAAAATAAATAAACTGTAGCAATATTTCAATTTCTAGCTCTAGAATTTTTAAAAAGCAAATTTTGTAATGGATTCAGTAGATGAATTAAGTGATAGAAGACTTTGACCTAATGGCTTTTACAGATGCTGTTGCTATATTAAGAAAGTATGATTTTTTTTAAAGTTACTGAGTAGCATGTTTTTCTTACCTGTAAGATCTCTGAGAGGTACATGTGCCGCTCATCATTAGCTTTGTGGTAAGCCTACAGTTAAAATAAGGGATATAGACTACAAATACAAAAAATACAAAAATTTGCTACAAGCAAAATATTTTAAAAGTTGAATAATACAGGAACAAACAAATATACACCAGAGCTTTTGTCCAGTGACATATTTTGTGGAACTATTCTATTGTGTGTTCCACACACATTGTCTCTTTGTCAGACAACGTAATGGCTTTTATAGATAAGAAGCATACAATGATTACAAACCTTTGCTTCTTGTTCCAGTCTAAGTTCATAGTCTTTTAGCTGATTCTGGAAACTTTTCTTCTCTTCTTCTAGTTGTTTAAGAACCTCCTTCAAGGAACTCTGTGGTTATAGCAAATAAAACAATGCTTTACAAATATTTATATTCACTATAAATATATTACCACCATAGTCCTTATTCTTCAAGCATTATGATGTGTGTTACTCTGTTTGCTTCTTGTGCACTTTTTGTATACAGGGTTCTGGATGGCGCACTGCAGAGATTAAAACAATTAACCATATGCTACAATTATAAGTTATGCACTGCAGATTTCCACTGTGTTAAAATGATACAGGTATGATTCTCCACACTGGCTCCTTTATAGATTAGAAAATCACCTTGTGGTGACCAGCCAGAATTGCTCCTTACTTCTAACCAAAGTTCACTCTAATGGCCACTTTTTGTTAGGAGGAAGATTTCAGATCTCACCTACACACCCATTTTCAAACCACTTGCCAAGAGAGATGCTGGACTGGCTGAAGAGGCACAGGGGACGTCAAAGGTAACTCATAACAACTTGTCTAGAAAGCAGTATCTTGTGGGGACACTATCTGTCTTAGATGTGTAGCTGTCTACCTTGTCTACATTTGGGATGAGCTAGAGTAACAGTGGTAGAGCAGTTTTGGTTACTGGCACTGGCCAGTTCTTTGATTGCAGTGTAGTGCAAGTAGAACACACACCCAAGCAGGACTTCCTCCATTTCTAACACAGGCAACTGCTTCTTAGAATCCCTTTCATAAATTGGTCCACTCCATCCAGTAGTGACATTCTTCTTGCGAGGCTCTAATAGTAGATGGCTTTTAAAATTGCTTGTCTTAGATTATTCAAGGTCAGTTTATACCTGTTTGTCCTTGTATTGAAATAATTTTTAAGATAACTGTTCTTCTTCCTTGGTGTTTGCCCCCAGCATGTATGAATAGAAGACAGGAATATCCTTTTTCAGCATTCATTTTACTAGGATATATAAGGTGAGCTTTTAAAAGGTGGTCTTTCACACAGCAGGCTGTCCTTTCATCTAATCATCATAGTAACCTCTCTGTACACCAGGCTAGAGCTCAACCTTCTTATGGTTGGAGAACAGAACTGTACTAGAGTATGCAGTACTCCAGAAGCTATCTCACTGCCTTGAACAATGTCAGTAACACTTCTTTATCTGTGTAGAGAAATTTTAGGATTGCATTTTCCCTTTTCACAGCTGCACAGTGATGGCTCACAGTAAACAAGGGATCAGCTAGAATACTCAGATTCTCCTCTACAACTGTGTGCCAGTGATCAGCTCTCAGGTCATTTGTAACAGAATTTGTTTACTATTTCCTAAATAATTTGGTCTACACTATTACATTTTAATCCAATTTTTAATAATCTAGTCTTCAGCATCATTCATTTTCTAAACAACATCCAGATCCCTATTATATTACAGAACTGATATCAAGAGAAGATATCGTAATCTATTTCCTACTTTGTATATTAAGGTCATGCATTAAATGTTAAGATTAGTCCTAAATATGGTCCTGGAAGAACTCTCCTTGCAGTCTCCCAGTGGCCTCCTTCACTAGTCACCACTGTCATGTTCCATCTGTCAGCTCTTTACTCTTTCAACAAATCTAATAATTTTTGTTTTCTCCAAGTTAATCAGTCACCTCTCATGTGACATGGTATCTTTACCAGCGGTCACAGTGAACAAGATTACTATATTTACTGTGACAACAATTCTATTGTCTGATCACAGAATGTCAACAGGTTTGCCTGCCATGAGCCACTTTTAATAAATCCGTATTTCAGTTGCATTTTGCAACAATTATTCCTCTCTTTCTCTATCTTAAAACTAAAAAAAAAAAATAAATTTGCTTTTCTCCAGTCCACACAATGTCATAATCTACAGCTTTATTAAAACCACTTGCTACCAGATCAATGATGTAGCAAGCCAGTTCTTTCAGAATCCCACAGTGTGGATTACCCATTTTGCTCAATTTAAGCATATCCAGCTCCTTGAGTTTTCCTTAGGTTTTGTTACTGTCACTTCCTCTTCCAAGCACTTGCTGACATTAGGTATTTCGTCCTTTAGTCTGCATTTTATTGTTTCTGCCTTTATTGAAAACTCAGACAGTATATACATGTTTAATTTAAGATGAATGAACTCATGATCACTTGATCTGACAGGTTTTTTGACTAAACTCCTACTAAGAGTCACAGTCAATACAATCAATGATGTGCAGTGATTCATTCCGCTGAGCAGATAAAGAGCTCAACTCGGTTGCCATCTGAGATGCCCTAGTGTCCAAGACATTCATGTGTGGCAGATATGACACATGGGCTAAAGGAGACACATGTCCTCCTGGAGAAGCAGTGGGTTACTCTGCACTGAAACATCTGCAAGTCTCTTTCTTTACACAACTATACCACTGAAGATACCTACTTAGACATATCTAGATACAACTGTCTAAACTCAGCTGACTGTATTAATGATACCTGCACTGCCTGTAGTAGGAATTAAAGATCTAGCCAAGAGGTAGACATATGCACTTAAAAAAGAAAACATTGGTATCCTAATATTTAAATGAGCAATATTGTTTCAATATATATTTCAAGATTATTTCCCAAGATTATTGTAAGATTTGTTTTCCTATCCATCCTCATGATGAATTAATCCAAACAGATAATTTAAAAAAAACAAACAACATTAATGTAAAAGTCTCTCGCATGTGCTACATACCACATCTCTCTCTGATTTGATCTTTCCTGTCAAGTGCATACCTTTAATACTTGTTATCCCACCATGTTTTCATTAACAGTGTTACTCCATTTCAGGCTAGTCAAGTCCTTCCATTTCTCTGGTTAGGCCCCTTGTTTAAAATAAGTATCCATTTCAGAACTCTTGCTTCTTTTTATTTCTAACTCAAGCATCTCCCTAGTCAGAACAGCTGCATCCTTTCACTTTCTGTACTGACTACCTGACCATTGCCTTAATAATCAGTTATTTCTTCTCCTGACCCTAATGCTTCGATATGCCTTTATTGACCAGATTTTTCTGGTAAACATGGAAGGGACAATAATATGACTCTCTCCAAACATTCTCCCCTTCTTTTTTAATTAAAATTTTTCTTTATTTATCATGCAAACCTCAGATCCAGAAAGCAGTATCCATGTATGGTCCATTTCTCAGAGTTTATGAATGGTAAAAAAATGCCAAACCTAATTTAAACCTTAAGAGATCAATACTGAGTCCAGTCCTGTTTAACATCTTCATTAATGATATGGATGATGGGGCAGAGTGTCCCCTCAGGAAGGTTACAGATGACACCAAACTGGATGGAGTGGCTGATGTGCCAGAAGGTCATGCTGCCACCCAGAGGGACCTCAACAAGTGGGAGAACTGGGCTGACAGGAACGTCATGAAGTTCAACAAAGAGAAGCACAAAGTCCTGAACCTGAGGAGGAACAACCCCATGAATGTTCCCCATGGGAACAACCCAATATATGCCGGAGGCTGTCCATCTGGAAAGCAGCATGGTAGAAAGGGACCTGGGGGTCCTGGTGGACAGCAAGTTGAACAGCAGCCAGCAGTGTGCCCTTGTTGCAAAGAAGGACAATATTATCCTGGGCTGCGTTAGGCAAAGCATTGCCAGCAGGTCAAGGGAGGTGATCTTTCACCTCTCCTCAGTATTGGTGAGGCCACACCTGGAATGCTGTGTCCATTTCTGGGCTCCCCAATACAAGCAAGAGAAGGATATACTGGAGAGAGTTCCATGAAGGGCCACGAGGATGATTAAGGGACTACATCACCTCTCCTGTGAGGAAAGGCTGAGAGAGTGAGGACTCTTCAGCCTGGAGAATAAAAAGCTGAGGGGGGATCTTATTAATGTATATAATTACTTGGAGGGAGGGTGCAAAGAAGATGGAGCCAGGCTGTTTTCAGTGGTGCCCAGTGACAGGACATGAGGCAATGGGCACAAGCTGAAACACAGAAGGTTCCCTCTGAATATCACGAAACACTTTTTTTACTGTGACAGTGACCTAGCACTGGAACAGGTTGCCCAGGGAGTTTGTGGAGTCCCCTCCTTAGTGATATCAAAAAAACATCTAGACATGATCTGGGCAACTGGCTTTAGGAGGCCCTGCTTGAGCAGGGGGGGTTGGACAAGACTACTTCTAGAGGTCCCTTCTAACCTCAACAATTCTGTGATTCTGTGACTTTCATTTTATTGTTACAACTGTGCCTTCCATCTCTCAGTGAGTACCTTGGTCAGACCAGTTCACCTTCCACTTTTTTGGTGTCGTGGGTTAAGCAGGCTAACCCATCACATTTGGGCATGCATCCAGCTTAGCACAGTCTTCTTTGGTTTGTTCCAGAGTGAACCTGAAGATGCCATTTGTCATTACATGAAAGATTACATCATTCTTATAAGAGCATTTTCACCTCAGGTCTATAACATATCTTTGACTTCAGACATCATCAAACCATTCTGTTTTCTGGATACATAAAGTGATAGTCCTACCAATGGTTTCTAACAGCCACCAAACATATATATCTGCCTCTTACATCTGCCTGTTTGAAATCTCCAGTCTTCTCCTTCCTAGCATCTGCAGATCATTGCATCTGTTATTCTTTTTCTTAATTTTCTGTACAACATGTTACTTACTGAGCTCCAAATTTTATTTTTCACAAAAACATTTTTGGCTGGCTGTTACTGAGATTACCTTAGGAATGATTTCCATTAAAGCCAAGATCTTTCAGGAGGATGACAAAACGCACAACACTTTTAAAACATGTTGCCAAGAGAGGATAACCCCTCCCACTGTTCAAAAAAAGAAAAAAAAAAAAGAAATACAAAAGAGCTGTATCTTTCAAGAATGCTTCACCCATGACTGAACTGTTATTAACTTTAATCTGTTACAACAGGTTCACTGAAGACATGAAAAGAATTGGGGTTCTCCTTTTTTTTTCCTAATTAAAGCAGAAGTACCTTGGATGCAGATTAAATCTTTGCCCTAATACAGAAGGCTCTTAGTCAATACAGTCAACGTTGGCCAATTCAAGGAGAAAAAGTAAGCTGCAGATTAA